TCCCTCAGGGCTGAGGCGATCCCCCCTCACCGCTCCCGGGCCGTCCCGGCCCCTCAGAGCAGTTCCAGCCCTTCGCTTCCCAAATAAACTCAGTTCTTACCGAGCAGTTTATGGAAAGAAATAAATTACTACAAAACACTGCAACAGATTACCGTGAATTACTCACATCTTTAAGACAAGCTGCCTGGATATGACCCTAACTAAAAAAACCTACAGTTTAAAAATATTATCCCATAACAGGTGTACACTGATTTTATAAATGTAGAATGTACTACAAATAGATTATTCCTTTCATAACAAGTATTTAATTTTGACATGATTAATTTGAAATGCAACTTGTGGGGGGGGTTTGTGGCAGGAAATCTGCAGTATATGAGAAAACTGTGGTTTAAACGGTTCAAAATGGCTTTTTGTAGTCTCTTTGCTAACTCATGCTTTCTTCCTGAAAATTTGTTTTTTTTAAAATTTCTCATACATTCCTCAATGCAATACCTTCAATTGAAAAAAGTTTCTAAAAAAAAATATGTGTTACTGAAGACAGTACATGACTGTAGTTTAAAATCCTCTACATTTTGTATTAGCCAAAATAATTACAGGATGTATTTTCAAAGGTTGTTTTTGAGATGTTTTTTGTTTTTAACAGAACAAAAGGTATCAAGAATAAACACACTACTCACAAAGCACAAGCTGCACTTACAAGAAACTTCTGCAAGTTCCTCAGAAGTGTTTTTAAAAGTGATTTCAGTGATCGCCTTCTGTGCATCCTGGTCACTTAGGTGTTTCAACAGGACAATTTAAACTTGAAAGAAGTATTGTAACATCCAGTAGCTCCCCTGTGTTCTGACTGAAATGCACTGAACAGAAAATGTGGGAAATACTCTCTGTTTCAAAGAGGTAAATATCAAAACTGAAATAAATGTTAAAGAAGGTTAAGTGAAAATCCAAGTAAGAAGACAGTCAAGGAAAGGAGAGAAAATGTTAAGACAGGGTCTTACTCTTTTCCTTACCTAAGATAATATTAATTCATCTCACTCTTAGCTGAATAATTGCAAAGAACATTATACTAAGCTCAGTTTTACTTAAGAACTCCGAAAAAATCCACCTTTTCAATACTACAGATTGAGATTTCTTCCAAGTATTTCCACATCTTAGCTTGTTACTAACGAAGAATCACTACATTTCATTTTAAACTACCATGGCAGGAAATGTTAGAAATTACAGTGGTAGTTCTGATGCACTGTTTTATGGTACTTTTTTTCAATGACAACTCACTATACTTCAAATCCTTGCTTAAAAAATTATTTTTCAGGACACGTCACCAAAATCTTTGCCAAGCCTCCTGGTATAACACAAGCGCCTGCCACAGTCACATTTCTCTTATTTTATAGCAATACCTATATATATGAATCTATTTTGTCTATCACCTGTGGCAACAACTGCCTATTTCTTTTTGTGGTGATCCAGCTGCAGATCCTTCACTCCTGGGGCTCAGTCATACCTTCATACAAACAATCACATTAAAGACATTTCCAACATTTTTATTCTTTGCTTCACCGATTCTCGTACTAGTTAGAGCTCTGCAACATGCTTTAGTACTGAAACAATACAACTTCAAATCATCCTGACATGTTACAAAAGTATAATCATTACTCAGAAAGATTTGGCATACTTTGCAAATGCTTGGTGTATTACAGAAAGTGCTAAAGAAATAGGAGATATCTGTTTATTGTACCAATGAAAAGGCAAGAATGTGCTGCTGTAAATACTTTTCCAATGAAAAAACAGGAAATAAACATTTAGAGCAGTGTTCTTAAACTGCATCCAGCGAGATACATTGAAAGCTACTTACAAAACACTACCAGTGATAAATCAACAATCCTGACAGGTGGAGAGGGGGATTATGGTGGTTTGCAAACAGGGAAAACACACCAAAATGTGACTCCCATAGCAGCTGTGTTCTCTTCGTGGCGTGAGTTTTCTGATGTTGCTATTGGGATAATAAGCAGTGAAGAAGTTGGCCAGGAAGTCATTTCACCCTGTGCCACCATCTGTCTGTCAATGCTTATTAGTACAGAAATATTTTCAAAGACACGTCTTGGATGAAAACATTTAGAAGTATTTTACAAAAATAACATAAATTAAATTACTTTTTTGTTTTTTTTTAAATGAACAACTATAAAATCCATGAACCAAACAACATATAACATGGACACAAGATGAAATATATTACACTAAAGGCCAGACAATTACCACAGTGGTATGAGGCTTCAAGTAAATTATGAGGCACTTTTTGGCCAAGCAGTAGTCATTCATTCAGTGGTAAAGTCCAACTCACAGAAACACCTAAAACAAAACTGCTAAAGCTTTCTAAGATCCTCAATTCCTCAAAAAAAATGTGCAGATAGAAAGGCAAAGACAAAAAAGCCAGGTATTGTGCCCAGTGTTGGCTGCTTCCTTCACAGGACTGTGCTCAGTTGGAGTTCCAACACGGTGGTACCAAGTCAGCCTTCCCCAACCTCCAGTTGGGGAACCTCCAGTTCTATTAAGGCTTTACACATCAGAGAGAAGAAATAGCAACTCCAGACACATGGGAAAGCAAACAGAAAGAAAGGCAGCAGCAGAGTTATATGTGAGCAAGTCCCCAGCAGAACAGACTTGAACTCCACTCTAATTTAGGAGAGCACCCCTTACATGCAGAAGACCCAGCAGTAACACGTGTTGTGCTGTATCAGCCCATCTGAAATTGAGAGACTGATCCCAACAAACCCTGCTGTGATACACTGAAGATCCCAAATACCTACAGGCTAAATTTTCCAGCAAACAAAACAAGATACTGTCATGGGGGAATTAAAGTACCGGTAACATGAATAGCCTACTATGAAATATTGCTATTAAAATACCTAACGTAATGAAGAAGAGGACAATAAAGGGCAACTAAAGTCAGAAATTACATATTTTGAAGTACTATAAAAAGCATTATTGATATTTAATATACTTAAACATACTAATATATCTATAAATACTACTAATAAGCATACCTAAGGTAAGACTGCATTAGTGTAGAAGTTAAAAAATTTTAGAAGGCAGCAGTTTGTGGTGCTATTGTAAAGCACAGCTTGTTTTTTAGGAAGAAAAGCATAGCACTGAGTGGTCCTTAAGAAATTACATCACCTCAATTAGGTGTGAAGTTCTCCAGCTGAAAGACCAGGTCTACAGCAGCATCAACATCTGGTACAATATGATCTGGTTCTACTAAACCAGGATCAAACCTAAAATCTCTGTGGCCATGGAACACAGCTTCCGTGATGCTGTCCCTGGTCTCCAAGGGCACCTCGGTGTGGGGGTTGTACACCCCAGTACAAACCAGCACAGACCTGCAGTGGGCAGCAGCTGCAGGTGCCAGCTGGTTCTCCCAGCCGTGGTCCATGTCATTGTCCTGAGAGAGTGCAGCAGAGCCTCTGCCACCAGAAACCTGGGCCTGAACGCGCGGCTTGGAGCCTTTCCTGGAGTTCTCTTCAAGGCAGCGGTTGTAAAGGTTGGCACCATAGACATCTGTCATGAGGTTGTCTCTGCAAACAGAAGGAAGCTCACTCAGCAGGGCAGGCCTACCTGTCACATGTCCATGTATGAAAGACGTTGGTACAGTTTCCGTTTACAGTTTAATTTATACTTTAATAACTTCATGGGGAGTTATGCACAGGGAGAAATCCATATCCCACAGCTATTTTACTGCACCATTGTCACTGAGGGTGACATGATACAAATGAGTCACTCTCCAGGCTGAAACTACAGATTGGAGCAGGGGGAGGGAAAATCAAGGATAGGTATGAACAGTGCATGAATGAGTTTATTATATTTCCAAACATCTTGGAGCTTCTGGAACAGTCTTTTATACAATACAGCTTTATCCCTTTCTATGAAAAGGATTCTATGATGTGACAGCGCAGGCAGTAGCACATGACCAAGCTTAATGACCTCACAGATAAATTCAAGCTCTACATTCTCTAACAACTGTCATTCTCAAAGCCAGTTGGTGTTATACCAGTAAACCTAATAAAACAAGTACCCAGGTGAATCCTTTTTCTTAGATTTACACAGCCTATGACAGAAATAAATAATTAAATAAATAATCTGGATAAATCTTAGTTCCATATAAACCCCTTTTTGTGCTTCTACAGAAATTGCACATAAGAAGAATAAAGTGCTATTAATTCTTAAGATTAGAAACAGAAAAGATACACCACAGCACCAAGAGCACTGGGTGGTCCCAGTGGTGTGCGAAACAAGCTGGTGAAGAGCTGGGTATTTTTCCTGGCTGGCGTTTGTGTGTGACTGGTTCCCGTGGTCAGCTGAGCAGCCCTTACCCCACGGCGTAGAGGGTGTGGATGGGCCGGTGCCAGGGCCGGTGCAGGGCCTGGGCCCGCAGCAGCTGCTCAGAGTACTGGTACGTCAGCGGGCTGGGCTTGCCCACCAGCGCCTCGTACTTCAGCTCCCTGCCAGTGATCTTCTTGTAAATGTTCTCCAAACAAACCATGAACGTCCCGTGCCCAAACCTATGCAGATGGAAAGACAAATCAAATTAAGTATGGATAAAAAAAAAACAAACTGAGGTTTTTTAATTCATTATTTTTTTAGGAATAAATCATATCCTACAGTTATCAAATTTCCCTCATCATGCAACATTTCTGCAGCTGTTTCACTGGAAATAAAGCGCTCATTTGCTGAACAACAAAACCCCCACGTTATTGGAATGTCACAACAGATTTATCTTGTAAAACTGCTCACTGTAGATGTCCTGGCTGCCTTGCTCTAGCGTGAAACTATCACACACACATCTTCTGCCAATGTGCTAATTAGGGAAAGCCTTTGCTTCCAAGGAAGGATATCTGACAGATCTTTGACCCAGGATCGAGGCAGCAATCAAATCACAATAACAAGTTTCTATTTCAGATTATGTTCAAATTATAGACTGAGAGGAAGGGAGAGGAAACAAGACTATTAAAGAACTACCTTCTGTTGAAAGCAAAATCAAACAAAATCACTATCAGAGGTTATGCCACCTTGTTCTGTGTGTTCTGCTGTTTTCTCTTATGTTCTTTAAGGAGCTCACTGCATCGTCCTCAGCTCAAAACCACTCACTGCTTTCACCAGCAGGGTCAGCTCTTAACCCTACCAGGAATGTAGGGTGGAAAAGAGAAATTCCAAAGGACTTAATGAAATGAAACAATGGCCTTGATAATTTTTTCATTTTTCCCTCTGAACTGAGACTCTGAGGCCCTGAGGCAAAAACCTCTCTTTCCCCACTCTTCTGGGAGTGAGAAAACAAAAGGGTTTAGAGCTTAAAAGCAGTTTTTCTCTTGAGTAACTGGTTTCCTGGATGCAATAATGCACACAGCAATACGGCAGCATTAGCTGAAAGTGTAGAGACTTTGCATTCAGAGCCAAGACCTTCTGTGAAGTTGCACCAGGCATTTTGTATTCAAGTGTTGACTCTGAATTTTACTGGAGAAATGAGGAAACCTCAAATATATCACAATATACACATGTTATAAATTACTCACCTTGGAGACTGTGCCTCAGCTACCCACATGAGATCCATGTTACAGGCAAGCACAGGAATGTGAGGGTAGTTTTCATGGTGATAGGGATTTCCAGGATAGCCACTGGTCAGCAAAACATCTATTATCAACTGCAGGCTGGTTTCCCATCTGACTGGCTCCCCAAACAACACCACAGCTGTGAGAACCAGAATTACAAAACAGTCATGGAATTGCTAAGAGGGCACATAAGTGGTCTAAAGAGACTGATCAAACAGTGATATTAACTTTAATTTAGATATTAATATTTAATATATCACATACCCATCCATTCACAGAAAATCTCAGAAGCAACAAGACCCCATTGCAAAACCTACAGGTTTAGGAATTTGATTTTTTTTTATTGACTAAGTTTCTCCAGAGCACCCCAAAATATTAACTTTTAAATTGTATTTCTAAGTCTTCCACACCTTTGTAAATTCTATGTTTACATACAGTGTTTAAGTAATCCATCAGAGATGTTATTTTGTTCATCTTAGAACAAAATCTGAATGTTGTTTTTAAACATTTTTCGTGTCTCCAGCAATAATCTGACATGGATTTTTTTAAATCCCAAGGTCCAGTTTCTACTTTCCCGTAGTTCAGATGGGAGTGAACACAATGTGTTTCTCATACTGCAGCTCTGCAGTGACCATCCTGACCGTGTTGAGGACTGGACCAATTATTGCTGCACACGTCAATTCATTCCTCAGTTTGGACAGGAAGGCACCAATAGCTCGTTAAAGGCAGATGAAAAGGAAAGGAGACCTCAGGTAGCTTTGAAACTTCAAAAACACACGGCTGAAAACTGTACACATCAAAAACCAGCTTCACCACACATGATGCATTCCAAATGAATGACAGATGTCATCAACAAGGAAATCTTATGAGTGTCTCAGACAAATTTCTGAAGTGCCCAACAATCTAAAAATAATTTCTGATTATAAAGCACAATTAAGATATTTCATCTATTAATGGATAATTTCAAGTTAAATAAAGGTAACTGACCCTCAATCTTGGGAAGCTCCACAGCAGAGGGGGACTGCAATAAGAAAAGAGTGAAAGTTTTCTACAAGATTAAACATCTATTACTATTTTTAGCAGAACAAATTCAAATATAGCTCCCACAGCTGCCTTCTGCAGCACTGACAGGAAATACTCTCTCTGTTTTGGTAGATACCTGATGTCAGTTCACTCAGAAACTTGTATCTCCATTGTGAAGTGAAACCTCGTGCACACAGACAGCAGACACGTCAGAGTGCTGTACGTGCACCAGCCTCCTGCTTCTTCTCAACTGCCTCTGGAAAGCCTGAAAACTCCATTTGTTTGATTTACTTGTGTGTGAAAATGTGGATGTTTAATATTCCACAGGAGTAAGAGGCCTTTAGCATTATCAAGACATTAGTATTATAGTTTTTAAGGTGTATTTCTTTAACACTGCTAATAAAGAAAAATGCATTGTATAACATGCAATGTATTTGCTACACAACTAAGAGTTTGCACTTCATTATTTACTCTCCGTGGTGACAAACACATTAACAGGTTCCTGAGCTTCCCCACCTGCAGGGTTGAGAAGCACAGCCAAAGGTGATACACCTGAGTTTTGGATTCTGGGAGCCATAGGGAATGTCTTGGCTTCACATGGGGCAAATCCACTGCCCTGACCGTGCCCAGTTCACACAGGGATTTACTGTGGATGTATTCACTTCTCTTGGAAATTCGGCACAATTCAGTTGAAACCATATTGTACATACTGTAAACATTAAATATATTTTGTATAAACAAGAAAGGGAGTCCTTTGCAGGTAAATAAATTATCTGCAAAGCATTAATTTACAACTGAAGCAACCTCACAGCCTAGAACCAATACCAACACAATCCCATACTGAAGGAAAATGCTTGTGTTATCTTCCACACATCTGAAGAAGCCAATCAGCTTTCCAAGACAGATTTTGAATTAGGTATCTGTATTAGATTGTAAGTTTTCCCACAGCAGTAAGTTACAATATCAAAGACTGGGTTAAAGAATTACCACTGAGAGAAAAAAGTCTATGGATTTGATCTTGAAAATGTTGTAATAAAACAAATAAGGAAGCAGAAATGCAAAGATAAAACACCATGTAAGAACAGCAGCATTAGCTCGGTAGTTAAATATTGACCCCTATTACAGAATGTCATGCAGTGAGCAAATAAAGAGCTTTAAAACAAAAATATACACTCACCAGAACGTTGGGTCTTCTGTCATGGTCAACTGCATCCAAGAGTGGGTGTTTCTCCCGCAGAGTCTCAATGGTGATGGGCTGACAGAAACCAAGGCTGGAAACACCAGTTAAGGACAAAGAGCTTCTTACAGGAAAGGATTTTTAAAATCCATAACTCCATTTTAACAACCTGAGCACAGGCAGCTTATCTGGTAAAGCAAATCAGTTAGGAATGGAAGCACCATCAAAGACTGACATTTTTCTCTGTGAGACAAAAAGATGATCATCCTATTACAGACAAACAGGAGACCAAGGTTTTTCTGGTTTGTATTCAGCCTTGTAACACACTTGTCTCTTAGCCAAGCCTAATGGATTTTGACAGTTAACTGGAATGTTCCTTCGATACCTTTTTCTTATCTTTGTCTTTGAAATAGAGCTTATACTTAAAATTTGCATATACATTTTTTACAACTTATGATTTACACCAACTTCAGTTAAAATCTCAATAAAGGAAGAAGTGTAGAAGGGACTAACTGGAAGCATGAGCAAAGATTATATTTGAAACTTTGATACCACCATTATATCAACATAATTCAAGTTGTTTTGGGTAGTTAGTATAGAAGTGGCAAAAATATTCAAGTGTAATTTTACACCAGATGTTGGTTACAAAGACATGCTTACAAGCAAATCTTGAGCACTGAGGTAAAAATCAATGTGATAAATAACAGACAGAATGTCTGTTAAACTTGACATCATAGTAAGAACTACCATTTACTGCTTATTGCTGCATTTGTAGGGTTGAGATATTTGGTCTTCGCTTGATCCACAGGATCCCCTGACCTTGAGTAAGGAAAACACTCTGACTGAAAGTTGTTGTTTTTTATTTCTTTTTAAAGATACTCTTGAGCAATATCAAGAAGTGGTCCTTGTCCAGACACCAGGACACATTTCTCATGATAACGCTTGAACATCCGCAGGGGACTGTGTGACATCACCACCTGATCTTGGGAAATCTGGTTGGGATTCAAAAACAAAACCAGTCTGTTGTTTTTGATTTTCAGGGAAGTCATTTATACAAAGATTCAATTAACAGATGTGATAAAGTCTAGGAATTGCAAAACAATCATACAGATGTACACAAACCCCCACATCATACAGATGTACCTAAACCCCTGTCACAACATTTTCTCCAAAGTTTCACAAGGGACCTATTGATAACATGCCAGACAAAAATACATTGCTGCATAAATACATTACAAAAAAATACATTACTGCACTGTCATGCACAGACTGCTTTCAGCTTCCAGAATTACTCTATTCAACATGAGCACAAGGTTTCCTCTCCTAGTTTTACAGAATCACCCAATTTGGAAAACAAATAGGGAAGAAGAATCAGAACTGCCCTAGTTCCAATTGTGGGCCCTTCGTTAAACTGCAGCACTGATCTAATTGTATCAGAAATCACCTTTTATTTTACATATCCCCACTCCTTCCACAGGATAGGTATAAACCTTTAAGATCATTATCCTGGAAGGATGCTCTTATGAATCACTACCTATCACCTTTGCAGAGAAATACTGTTAGCTTTAGCTTTACCTTTGGAAAAATCAGTACCTTTACCAAAGGAAATGCCATTAACTTTGGACAGCATTTTTTACTCTCTAATACCTCCAGCAAAGCATTTCAGGGGGCTTAAGGGAAAACCAGAACTGATTAACTGAGCAGCATTTAATGGAAGATAATACATTTGACACATTCAACGTAATAATGAAATAAATGGGATTTAAGGGACTCACTGGAACTCCCAGCAGATGAGACAACTGGTCGGCTTTTTTCTGGCGAAGGCAATTCCCTGCATTGGTGACAAACACCACAGGCACCAAGAACTGTCCCTGAGAGTTCACAAGCTTTTGAAAGGCTGTTCTGGCAGCAGGAATCGGAGTCTTTCCTCGCACCAGCACCCCGTCGATGTCAAACAGGAACCCAAAGGATGGCAGTGCACTGAGCTGTCAGGAGTGGAAAACAAAGAGCACAGTTAGTTCTGCCTGTACTTACACACGATGGAGCTTTCAGCAGCTACAGCCCAACGAGAACAGACACCTGAGAGCAAGGGATCTTTAACTCTGCACATTGTAACATGCCTTAAAGACACATTCACATGCTAAAATACCCCCTGTGACACAAGCACAGCTCCCTCTGCCTTATGCATACAGCCTCATGAGCTCTACCTTGCCTTACAAATAGTTCCAGAATGTTTCAGATCAAAAATGAAGTCAAACTGATCAGAAGAGGTACAAAATACCCGCTGCTGTGCCAGTGAATCCCACTTTTGATTGATCTGACCCCCCTCGAACACTAGCAAAATACACAACAGTCAGTATTTCAGCAGTAGGTAGGTCTTGAACTTGAGTTCTCCCTTACAAGGTTTAGATACTAAAACTGTCCCAGCTGTCACCTGCGCTTTTCTGTTCCACAGTTGGTTCAATTACAGCCAGATAACTGCTGTGCTCTTCCCACATGGCTCCAGTTGATTCCTAGTTTTACATCCAGCAGACTAATGCCTACTGGTAAAGGTAACACCTCCTCAGACAAAGGTGCTGCTTGAGTCACTTAAATGTGTCCCCTTGTCTGCCTTTTAGGAAATAAGAGCTGGACTTCATGAGTTCAGGAAAATAAAATGAGGCTAAGGAGGGGTAAGAAAGATGAGCTGCTGATAAGCCCAGGGAGCAGAGACAGAGAGAGGACTGCTGAGCAATGAAACCGTTAGTGAATCACGCTGGAAAACGACAGAAAAAAAATTATCACTTCATTTCTCTCCCAAGCCTAAATTGGAATCCAAGACTCTTGGGATTTATGATTCCCTCTGTCATTGTTTGATGAAGAAGGAAAGAGCAATTATGCGCCGAGACAGAGCACAATGAGAACAGGCACAGAAACGACTCCAGGCACCGCAGCGGGACAGCCTTCGCTATTGGAGCTGTCCCACCCAGCCCACCGTGTGCAGGGTGAAGCAGGGAGAAGGGCGTTTTGCCTATTTAAGCAGCACTTTGTTCCCCATCAATCACTGACCGGCTGCATTTTTCCTGCAGCTGGTACAGCACAGACCCCACCACCGTCACCGCTGGGAACGGAGATGCCGCTGCCTGCACAGCCGGCACGGCTCCCACTGCTGCCCCTTCACTCCAACCGCTGCAAACCCACGAGGCTGAGCCCAGTTTAATAAAGCCAACGCTGTAAATATATCGATTATCATTGATTTACATTAGGCTGGGTTTGCTGTCCAGCTTTACACGCAAGAAGCCCCTGAAGCCTTCTCTTTCCTCCTCTATAGAATCATCAGCCTCTATTTTAAAACAAAACCCCTGCAGCCCTTGTCTCCACGTTGTCGGCACCCGTTTCAGGAATGGTACCTTAGAAACAACCCAACTGCTGCTAAAAGTTGCTGCTGAATGTACAGCAGTCTCCTCAGGCTTTGGGGACTGGCATCTGAAACTGCTGAAACTGAAGTGGTATCGGAATAGTTTTGCAACTGACGTGGTTCTTCACGTTCATTTTGCTATGTAAAAATAATAGAAGTATAAACAACAGATTACAAATAAGAATTTTACAGTAAATAACACTAGCAAAAGAAAGTATTTTGTTAAGCATACTGGGAGGAAAAAAGCACTAAGGAAGGAACTGAGCATATATCTAGCAGGGAAATAATGAAGTCAACAGCTTTTTTTTCCTTTTTCTTTTCCTAAAGAAACACTCTGCTCGGGACAGGAGAGCTCTGCCCCGCTGCACAACGATGGGGACGGATGGAGCCGGAACGACTTTCCCTTGCTCCCACTGTACCACCACGGAGCAGCCCTTAGGACGGGAGTTCTGCCCGGCACTGCCCGGGAACCCGTCACAGCGTCCCCGGCGAGCGACGGTCCTCGGGGGCATCCCACGGCCCCGGGCACTGCGGCGGCCCGGACGCGCTCTCCGCACCCCACACCCCGCACCCCTTTCGGTTTCGCTCGGTCTCGTCCCGGGGGCTGGAGCGGCGGGTCCCTCCCGCCCGCCCCGGTCCCCCCCCGTCCCCTCTCATCGCCCCGTCCCCGCTCCGTCCCCTCTCACCGCTGTCCCCCCGCTCCCCGCGCCGAACCCGCAGAGCCCCCGGGCGGCCCCGCGCAGGGCGCGGAACGGCGGCATCGCCCGGCGCATGGCGGGAGGAGTGCGGGACCCGCCGCCCCGCCCCGCCCGGCCCTGAGCCCACAGCGCGTCACACACCGTCATGGCACAGCCC